TTGCGACGACAATAACTCCAACAATATCAAATTATTCTCAAACAACAAAAACAAATTACTATTTCTAAACTTTTCTCTGATCCTTTTTTAGCTTAAGCCTTCGTTGCTTATATACCGTCCAAAAGATATTTATAGAGCATTACATAAATACTATTACTACGTAAACGATAAATATAGCAAAAGCATGACTCAGCATAATGACGTAATATCTTAAATTAAGAGTATTCTGACGTGACTGACTTCACGTCACACTGGGAATATGTGTTTAGGAAGACGTCCAAGGTCAAATGGAAAAACATGGCATTTCAGGAAATGAAGAGTTTATTAAAACGAAACTGGGACGCTGGAAAGACGTCGAAATAAATATCGGTATCATAGGCAATTATGGTGTTGGAAAGTCAAGCTTTATAAACGCTATAAGAGGGTAAGAGATTTGTAAACTTGTAGCCGACATAGGGAGTACAGGGTATTTTAATAATGTAATTGCAAGCATTTAAAGCATTGTTTTCGATATATTCACACGTTGTTTACCGTGATACTGGGCGCATATTCGTTTGTTGTATACCATACGACCATCAGTCGCAATATCTTGGTTTGTTTCAAAATTATGTGATAAATTTTACTGTTTTACAACGAAAACACCCATTCGAATACCGAACACATCCTGTTCACAAGTTAAGTTGTTGAAACATCATTGCTACAAGTCTGCTGCAGGTTTGTTACAACTTGTGTGATTTTACGCGTGTACAAGAGATCACTCTATTGGCCGCTATTTTGGCATCACACAATCATAGGGCCTTTTATCTCATTCATGCTCTTTCCTTGATCCTCCTATCTCCTTCCCACCGCAAGAGAAAACCCTGGGGACGAGGTTGTGGTTTCGACAATTTTATTAAATACTACATTCTCGCTTTAACTAGACTTAGAGATGACGACAACGGCGCAGCAGAGACAGGAGTCACGGAGACAGCAAATGTAGCCACCGTCTACCATCATCCTACCAATAACAAAATAAAGTTTTGGAATCTACCTAGTATAGGTGAGTACTAGGGATGTGCCGGATACCGGATAGTACCGGATAGTAGTCTACCGGATACTAGTCAGGAGAAAATGATGACCGGATACCGGATTATTAATAACCGGATACCGGATAATAACCAGATACTACCATACAATAATTTATTAGAAACACAACATTTTTATAGCTTAATTAACTAGTCCAATGTGGCAATGTGTTTAATACAATGACTTCAAGAGTTTTTTGTCTCTTTGACCTATTTGTCTTTACCAAGGCCATATCTTATGATTCACCTTACATTGTTTACTGGTATTCAGTTTATAAAATTCACTGCTGTTGGTGAACGAGCAGTTCACATCACCATCACGAAAAAAATATGTCGTAATTTCGTCGTAATGCAGCGCACGCTCAGTAATTGTTCGTGTTTCACAATTTTTAAACACCAAGTAAACTTTTCCGTTTCATGGTTGTAACAAAATATCTTACAGTACTATCCGGTAAATATCCGGCAAATTTATACCGGATAGTGCCGGATGTCTAAATTTTACAGGATATCGGATACCGGTATCCGGATCCGGCACATCCCTAGTGCGTACCTGATGTTGCTGTAATAGAACTTCAACAAGCTGTAATGCTAATGCGCATGAGCAGAAATGATGATACGACATTTTTTCAAAATCCCTACTGCAAAAATAGTCTGGATCTTAGTTTAAAATGGTATGAAAATCCAATTTTCATACCAACTGCAATTTTCATACTATGGATATAATATCGCCATCGCCACCATAACGTCGCCACCACCATCCTCGTCACAACCATAATCACATTACTACAATCAGCACTATCACCACCGTCTTATAGCCTTCACCATTATCACAGCCATTATATCATTACCACCATCTTTACCGCTGTCACTGGAACAACATACTATGGAATTTGCGATGCATCACTAAATCCATAGTATATCCACACTATTTCCATGGAGGTTTTCTAATGTCTGCAGTTTTCATGGTAGTAGCAGTAGTGTTCACAGTGATTGCTATCAAGGCGAAATTATAATCAAACAACTCCATGTTACAGGAATAAAACGGTACTATCGCAACAATTCAATAAAAACTCAACTGACTAATAATTGCAGGTACACCAGACTACCCCACTGACACCTACAGTGACAAAGTCGGCTTGGAAAAGTACGACACCTTCCTTATCTTAGCCGCTGGCCGCTTCACTATAAACGATCTTCTATTAGCCGAAAAAGTGAAATCCATGAAAAAGTCATTCTTTTTTGTACGCACCAAGATCGATCAGGACGTCCAACATGAAAGGAGAAAGGCAAGATTTAATGAAGAAGCAATGTTGAACGACATTCGAGAGGATTGTTTGAAAAATCTGGAAAGATTTGAAGCCGGCGATGAAGTTGTGTTTCTCATCAGTAATCATTACCCAGCCAAGTGGGATTTTGCTCGTCTCACACAGGCCATTCTGGATGTCTTGCCACAGCACCAAAAGGAAAGTCTAACGCTGTCCTTAGACTTGTTAACAAGCCACTCCAAGGATATTTTGAAACGAAAAGTTGAAATACTTCGAGGTAATTATAGAGCGAAGTTAACATTTCGTGCAAATAACGATTTGTCAAGAATATTTCGAACCTCACTCCCATGACCTTCAAAGTGAATACGGCACGCAGGCACGGAACTGAGTTATCTCGTTCAAAACAATATAAAGTTTTGCAACATATGGGCTTTAAGGTTACAGCATACCCTAGAACCTTAAATATTTCAAAAATGTTTCTAATTGTTTTGTAGCTTAGAAAGAGATCTGTCGTCAGAAAAAATTTCAAAGAAGTCTATATGCTTGGCGGGAAAACTAATTAGCATTGACAGAAGTCAATTTTCAAACTAATTCATTTTGAGTCATCTACAGGCACTAAAAGGCGACGTTAAGCGTGTGTTTTAACCGATTGTTCTTAGAATTGCGCAGGTTCTAGATTTATGTCTTGGTTACAAAATCGTGTTTACGCGAGTTTTACTGGCCTGTAGTTGCAAAGTTACGAGCCTTTTGTTGTGCATTGGTTGCCTCAGTTAAGTAACTCCTAAAGTATAACAATAAAATGCAAACATACGTGACAGGTTTTTAGTGAAACCGGCGTTTAATGCCGGTTTTCTACTTGCGAATTTTTTCGCGCAAAGCGTATTTTTCATTTGTCTTTGGCCTCTCAACTGGAGCCATCTGGAACTAATTGGATAACAACAAAAGAAAAATTCGCTTCGCGCAAAAAAATTCGCAAGCGGAAAACCGGCATAACGCGGACCGCCGAGCAACATTAAGGTACCATAAGTTTAAACTTGTAGCCATACTCGGGAAAACAATTTTTCTCGTACATTTTATAACAGTATGTTATTCGTCATCTATCTGGCTACATTCGGGAAACGTTTTATAGAAATTGGATAAAAATTCGCCGAGTAATGGTAGATCTCCTGAGGAATGGTATAGATATGTGCCTTTTCTCGATCAAGCGATAGGACGTATTTTCATTCAAAGTTACTGACCGAAAGCACGGAATAATTTTCTTGTTTTTAATGTTAGTTGAAGGTGATACTGAAAGGCAGGACATTGTATACGGAAAGCAGTTTTTCTATTATTTTTGGCATTCTTTCCAATACTCTAATTTGTTTCAGGTCGAATATGGATGGTCGCAGCCGCTTCTGCTGCTGCTGCGGTAATTCCACTGCCTGGGTTGTCTATTGTGGTGGATTTCCGCTTGTTAACACACGAAGTGAATTTATACAAATCTCAGCTTGGCCTACCCAAGGAAAAATCTAACGAGTTTCTAAAACTGACTAAAGAAAACCGGGAAATAATCCTCAAATTTTGTTTCACAAACGCAGCGGAACTTGCAAAGATTCTCACAGTTTTCGCTGCCGGTTCCGCAGTTGAGGAAGTTGCTCGATTCATTCCGATCATAGGAAGTGCTATTGCTGGAGGCATTTCTTTCGGCTCTACCTATTATTTCCTCCGTCAATGCTTGAACGAATTGGAAAAAACAGCATTGAATCTCTTGGATGAAACTAACGCCAACGTTGTTAGGGATATAGTAAACAGCGTCGACTAGTGTCAACTGGAACTGAGAACAATTAATAACCTTCACGTGCTCATTTGAGTTTTCAAATTTGAATATTAAAAAAATAAGGCCTTACAAATAGTAAGCCCTAGCTTTAATAGCTGGCTGTCATAGTTCTAATGTACGTAGTTCTAGTGTATTTTAAGAAAATGGCGTCACAATTGCGGATTCATCAAGTGCATGTCTCGATAATAGACAAAGGCATGATTTGTTTGCAATACGAAACAAATTTGTAATAGCTATGTATAAGTTAAATAAAATAGTTCAAACTTCTAATCTGTCTTATTCTCGCTCTAGTTGATATTGAACAGGAAAGGTTGCCACATCACTTTTAGTTTTTGCTATTGTATTTTTGAACTATTTTTGTCGCATTTTGAAAACGGTTGGTTTTGTTTGTCATCATGCATGCCTGCTTTAGGGCCCTAATAATATTAAAAGCGGGCGAGTTATATTTGCCGCAGACAAACTTCGTAAAACTGCGTAAAATATTTATACAGAAAAAATTACTGGGGCTGGGTATACAAGTCAGTGGCAGAAACGTCCCGACCACAGTTAATAGTATTATAAACTGTGCCCGAACTAACAGGAACCTCAACCAATAAGTTACAGATAATACGGCCTTAAAATTGGTCGTTTCACAGCACCGAAGTTGCCTCGTCCCTCGTCGCTTCAGTTGGGAATAGAGAGCAGTGGAAAAAACAATGGGATTGCGGGGCTTAATGGCAATTAATCGCGACCGCGCGTACGGATAACGGATGAGGGTCGGAGTGACTGCGGAAGAGTCAAGCACCAAGGCTTACAAACTCGTTCCCCGAGCCTGCGATCCTTGGGAAGGAACGTGAGGCTATGTGATAACCCATTTCAGGGAGGAATCCAATTGGCCGTTATTGATGAACGCGAACTCGGTCTCGAATGAGATCCGGTCTCGGCAACGACATCTGAGATTCCGATCACCGTTCCGGATCCATAATCAGGAACGATTCCGAATATTATCCGGACCCAGTCATCATCCGCGAATCCATTACCAATATGGCGCACCACGCGCAGGCGGCAGGTGGCAGGTGGCAGCAGCAGGCAGGCAGGCAGGTGGTGGCAGCAGCAGGCAGCAGGCAGGCAGCAGCAGGCAGGCAGGCAGGCGGTGGTGGCAGGTGGCAGGTGGCAGGTATCGTAATGGGCATTGCATTGCAGGCAGGCAGGCGGTGCAGCGGCGGCAGCATTGGCATCGCATTGCAGGCAGGTGTGTGTGTGTGTGTGTGTGTGTATGTATGTATGTGTGTGTGTGTGTGTGTGTGTGTGTGTGTGTGTGTAGAGGAGGGGGTGTGTCAATCGTTATTTGGCCAATTATTTTGCCAGCCAGAACACATGTTAAGGATAGGAAAGAAAAAAACTAACGAAATTGAGTGAGACTGATTAAGAACTGATAATTAGCTAAAATTTATATCATTCCCCGTCGCCAAGATTTTGAGGAAAAATAATAATTACGAAGAAAAGTGTTTTATACGCAGAGGAAATAACTCGGCAAATTTCACTTAGTCCCTCCCCCCTGATTTAAAATAGGGGTAGCGCCGCCTCTGAACATTTATAGTTCACAATAAGTCTCCTCTTCTTAATTTTGATATTTGAGCGACACTTGGAGCAAGTCTACTTAGTCTACTTACTTATCACATTAGTGGTGTAGTCCAAAGATCTTTAACAAGGTGGGCTTTATCAAGGTAGGCCTTGGGGCATGAACTGCAGGAAATTTATTTCCACAGGTATTAGATTGCCAGCATTTTAAGTGATGTTATAAAATGTATTATCATATTAAGACCAGAATCACAACAGAATTCATTATTCAGAATGCCGTGGGCGTCCCTAATTTAATATAAGGAAATTTAGCATTAACCATGTCTGCAGAAGAGGCGCTAGAAGGGGAGGGTGGAACATCCCCGGCCGTCGGGTAGTCGGAAAATTATTGTGTCCGAGCCGGCGAATCGTTTTCCCAATCGGCAAAAAACTGAATTGAACGGAAAAAAGAAAAATGTATGAGGGAAACTGATTATAAACTAATAATTACGTACAGCTAAAATATGGGGAAATTTACGCAAACAACAAGGAAAAAACTAAACGAGTGATGTTACCGCAACCCGAAAGATACTGAAAAATATAATATCCGGAAAACGTTTTAGAGTTTAAGCGCATTATGTTAATTAGCGGAAATTTTGTTTTAAATTAATATGCTGTGAAGATGAATCGGCAACCCCCCGCCCCAATTAAAATAGGTCTAGCGTCGCCCCTGCATGTCCGATTCATAAACAATCTCGTACCCAGGGTATGCCCGTTATCAAGTTAGGTACCAGGACCTAACCTGCGAACGGGCATACTCTGGGTACGAGATTGATTCAAAAATTGCATAGAAATAAATTGAATGTGCTGTATTTCGATTTTAAAATAATACCAAATCGTGCTCATGGCTAAAATTTGTTATATTTACTCGTTTTATTCCGTTCGTCGGCCTCGCTATTGCTGGAGACATTTCGTTCTCCTCTACCTATTATTTCCTGCATCAATCAATGTCTGAAAGAATTGGCCGGAAAAAACAGCGCTGAATTTCGTGGATGAAATGACCCCAAGAACCGTCGACGATTTTGATATTGACTAGTTTTACTTCGGACAGTCTTGTGAATTGGTCAGAAACACAACTATCGAGCAATGAAAATGAATATATATAGTGTCAGTTAGGAGGATCATTTGATCGGAGAAAACTGCTATATTGAATGACGAAAATTACTATATAGAGTCAGTGTGGTCAGTTTGGTGAAATAAAAGGTCTTTTATAATTTTTATTATTATTCGTTGCGTCGTTAAGTATTGTCTTACTGAGTAGTGGAAATGACGGGAAAAGACTGGATCAAATACTCGAATCTCGCCTTTTGCATTCGGCTATAGTTTTGCATTTGATTTTTGCCCTTGATACAAATAATTGTATTAACAACATTATCAGCCAATGTTCAGTTGAATGATTTCGATCGTACAGACTACAGCTATGATTTGTACATTTAAACACACACGGCTTATTAATTTCCGATTTAGGAATTGAGCAATACGGGCCAGAGCAAACAAATACGTTAATATGAAACCACAAAGTATTAAAATCAATGAAAAACGTTGCTTAAAACTCACCGACCATGAATTGATCTTATTTCTTGACATTCGCGAACTACATGCACATTTCTTTGCTTTGTGCATTCTTAATTAGCTTTAATATGCTGGAACGCTGGTTGTCTTGCATTTCCGTACTGTTTGTAGTCTTTCAGGAGAACAGAGACGCTCAAAATTGACTTTACTCCAAACTCACAGTAACACTACATGCAAATTTCTTGAAACTTGGCAAGCTTCGTCTTCGACTGGTAAATGACTATGAAAATTTTACAATCAACGAGTTACTAAATTAATGAAAAACGCACGAGAACTTTCTTTCGTCTAGATTTAATTACATTTATTAACTCCCCGAGGCTGAGCACTTTTGTTTAACAAAAAGCATTAATTTTTATACTGTACAGGGTGTACAGGGTGTCCCAAAAAAAACGAAAACTATTGAAATCACCAATAACAATTTAATTGTTAGAATTTGAATGCCTTAGCACTCCGTTGGTTCCCACGAGTGCATAAATGATTGACATAAGTAAATGTTATGCATAAAGAAACTGTTTAAGAAGCTGTTTTTAATTCCCAGGAGCAGAAAATCGCGCACTTTACCAGGAGATATTCCTAACTAAATTCTAATACATGCACCTTGTCAATATTTTACGCATCATTACGTCCAGTTGTTTGGTAGGGCATTCAAATTTAACAATAAGTGATTTCAATAGTTTTCGTTTTTTTGGGGACACGCTGTATACAGGGTGTATCAAAAAAAAGGAGACCTTTAGAAATCAATCATATTGTTAAAATTTGAATGCCTTATCAATTACACATATGCTGAACCGTGGTGCGTGAAATATTGGAGTATATCAGAAAAAGGAGACCTTTACAAATCAACCATTGTTATAATTTGAATCCTGGAACTAATTAGTCATTTGATTATTTTCGGGTCGTTATTTTTCCTTATGCTATTAAAAATTATTTTCAAATTCCCAGGAGCAGACAATCTTGTGTTTAAACGTTATTTCAATTTCTAAAAGTCTCCTTTTTCTATGATATATGCACCATCAATATTTCACGCACTACGGTTCAGCATATATGCAATTGAAAAGGCATTCAAATTTTAACAATATGCTTGATTTCTAAATTATATTCAGTTATATCAACACGAATGGAATTGGGAAAACGAGAAATTGTATGGAAACACGACGCCCGAAGGGCGGAGTGTTTTCATACAATTTTGAGTTTTCCCAACTTCCACGAGTGTTGATATAACTATATATCAATACGGAAAAAATGTTTTATATTTTTTTTATAATATAGCAATGTCAAAAGTCCGAAGGATAAGAAAAATTTCCGTGTTTACAAGCGGCGGAAAATTTCCCGTGCTGACATTGAGTTATATCGACACGGCTCTTAGCCAATCAGCGTTCAGAATTTACAAATGCTATATTATAATGTTATATATAAACTGTTGTTTCTGAACGTTCGTATGTAACTTATATGTTAAGGTTACAGAACACCTTTGAGCGTTAATTTTGCCTAAAATTTTTTTATTGGTTTCCATGAAAGCATTAGAC